CCGCTTATGAACAGAATGTGGATTTATGAACTCTGCAGATCATTTCATTCTGTTTTTGCCTACATTTTACACAGCACCGCACATTTTAAGGAATTGATTATTTAATTATTTAAGGTATTGTTGTACATAACACTCTAGTTTTTAATTAAAAAGTAATTTATGATATTCGCATCTTAGGATAACATTTTTGCGTGATGCTTCAGCTTCTGTTCATCAAACCTGTCTCTCTGTGTCTTGGTGTCTAGTCTGGGTTGGAATAACTGTCGTGATGAAGTGGCACTGGAAGTGGCCAGGGTTTTGCCTTTCTGTCATACGCTGACTCAGATAGAGTGAGTAAAACACACACATAAAGACCCGCAACTGCAAGAGTTTTGCTTTTTTCATTCCACTTTTCATTTAGGCTTCCTTATAGTTATAAAACCAATAAGGAAAACAACTCTTGTCTCAGTACATGAGAGATTAAGTGTTTATTTCTCACAGTCTCGAGTGCAACAGCTTGAGTGTTTCTGGAGCGGAGGCCCTGCTTAAAGCCTTAAGGTTCTGCCCTGCTCTGCAACTCATCAGGTAAACTTCCTGCACTGCTAGACCTGCATTATCCAAGGAAACCTTATTAATTTCTAATGTTGTGGTAATGCTCTGGCCTTTATAAGTTATTGAACTTGGTTTCAGACTCTGGAAGAACAAAATCTTTGAGGGTGATGTCCAAAGGCTCGGTCTAAGGGACAGGAGGATGAATTTCTCTTCCACCTGATATGATCTGCACTGCTGGACAGTTGAGAAGCACAATACCAGTTCATCAGCACCAGTGCAGATGAACAGTCCAGTACTTCTTCTGCCAACACTGACTTAGAAATCTGTGAGAATTTTATTTTTATTTTTTTTGCTTGAAGTGTTTTGGGGGGTTTTTTCTAAGTGCTGCTCTATTGAAACACGGCTGTACAGTTGAAATAAGTTTGTTAGAACAAGAAGAAATAATGTATTTTTGAAACTATTTAAATCCCTGACTTTGCACTGATTGGCCTTTGGTTTCACAAAGCAGGAGACGGGTGGAAGCCACTGAAACCTTTTTTTCAAAAGCTGCTGTCA